AAAGTAGACGAACTGATTTCACTGCATGCCGCAGTGTAACTTTGATTTATACTCGCATGCTTAGCCGCACTTAGGTATTTTGTTCCGTCCTTTTTTTCAAAACCAGTCCCTTTTATGGCCTGTCTTACATTTGAGGAAAGTTTGTTTTGCTAAAATAGAATCACTTACTTGCTTAATGATGCTGCGGATGGGAATCTAGAAAAAGTGGATTTTTATTCCGCTGTTCTCGATTTCCTACGTGGGTGGTTGAACGGATAATATGAATTCAGTTCCATTGGCAACGACATTCATTGTTATGGTATTTTCTTCTTATAAGGAAATCTTGAGCAGAAAATAATCGCTCACAAAAACAACTTTGCTTGTTGGAATAGTCCTTAATATCAGCTTTACTGGATAGGAAAAACGATCCAAACCTAGACGGGAAAAAGCGCTGTAGGAATCGATACCTCTTGAAGTGTTTACCGCCTGATAAGTTGGCAGGGCCTTAGAATTTCGATCAGGGTAGGTGTTTTTGTGAAACACCAAGAGTTTCGACACCAATGTGCAAAGTAGCTTCAATGAAATTATTCATAAATTACTATGTTAGCAATCTTTGCACTATGCTACCGACATTCTGGCTTGCTGAACACTATAGTGTACCGTAACTCGCATGCGCGTAAAGATGCATAGCGTTATCAGCACTTTAGGTTAAATTTCTAAAAATTCTCCCTAAATCTTGACAATATCACGTTTGTAAGTATGGTCTTCGTTTTAGGGTGAAATATAACGAGTTTCTACATAACCCACCCAAGTTCGTCGAGATTGTGCTCACACTGGAGTGCGGTGGACGTTTGAAGTTATCTCGTCTATTATGGTCTTTGTGACTATCCGCGACCACCCAAAATCTCAATTTAACTTTATAAGTTATCTTGATGTTATAGTCTACTCCCAGTTGACATTTGACCGGACTTCCCTTAAATTTTAAAGATCAGGTCATTCATATGATGACCTTTTTCATTTAATATTGCCAACTTGATTATCCGAAACCTCACCCTTCGTGCCACTTGCCGTGCACTGTGTACTATCTACATGTCATTTTTAGCGGGCTGCTAATAAAGGACTTAATTATAATCCAACAGCGCATTCGGCTTCTACCAGTGTATGGTAAAATCTTTCTGTTCCTGGAAGGCAACTTCTGTGTGACATGTAAATGTCTGGCAAATCTTGGTACGATTTCTTGACCGATTCACGCAGGCACGATTACCTGAAATCACCAAATGCGCAGCGCAAGTGTGCACGATGCTTGGAAGTGTTAACACTGTTTTGTTCCTCATCTCGCCCACTTGCTACTCTCAGAGTGATTCTTTCTTAGTGCTGAACTTATTGAAAAAATTCCCCAGGATTTTGAGCTGCCAGATCCCTTCTGATTTAATATCAGGTTACTGGTTAAATTCTGAATTATTCTCCTGCACGCCTCCTTTTTATATGTATATCTAGGCATCGAGAAAAAAAGAGTAATTTGAAAATTCTTCAGAAACAATGAACAAGGAACAATCTGTGTTGTATCTTGTCTCGTCTCGTCAGCAGTCTAGCCCCCAGAAAAAGTGCTTTAATGGAAAAATTGCAGTTTTTCATAATGAATTTCTTACGATACTACCAGAGACATTGGTAAAGAAAGTGATCCCACTAATCTTCGGTGCTATCCTTAGACAGATTGGAGTAGATCAGGCTTAGCGACCCTACGTAGCGACGGTGGTGCTCTTCTCAAGTCTGAGGGAGTGTCGTGTAATTTGAAGGCGGCGAAAAATGTTTCCATTTCTATGTGACTGCTGAACATGAAATTTCCTCAAACATTTGCAGAGATAATTTTGTTACAGTATCTTTATTCAAGGCACTGCACAAATGATCAAAACTACCGGAATAAGGACTCCGTTTAATAAAAATTTATTAAAAATATTTCCGGGAAGTCCAAAACCCGTGCCTTTAAATACGATAAATCTTGCAGCAAGTAAATGACTTTCGGTATCTTAGCCATCTGTCCTGAGAAAGCAAACTCTAATTTGAAGTGCTTTTTGCAAAAAGCAGTCAGTGAAAGAACAGTGGTCGTTTGATCCGTGGTTTACAATGGGGATGACTGCAGACGCTTTACTGATTGACACTGTGGCCAGCCACTAATGAGAATGCCGTCGGTACAGATCTCCCTAGAGAATCTCGGGACGCGCATCGCTGTATACCTTAGGAAAGGGTAAATCACAATTGATATCGCGCGCATTTGGGATTTTAGTGATAGATCGAATTCATTTGTCGCACAGTATATCAGTTGGGACAGAAACTTTCTAACACGAAATTAGCATAATGGATTTATCCTGTCATTTATTGGACGGAATCTCCAGAATTGTCGCAACGGAGCCAAGCACGCAGGTGTCTTTGCTAACCAGGATGAATACAACTCACAACTCGAAATGGCCTGCGCAGGAGGGGGAAGCTAAAACGATATCTAACTGGCTTGATACAGATGCTATTCAGACCAAGATAATTTGAGTACGTTTTTCCATTATGTGATATTAGCTCGCTCACTCTACTGCAAACAGACGAACACTTTGATGCTTTCACATCATCTCAGTAGGGATATATATATCAATACCTAAAAAAACGACTTATTAAGCAAATAACATCTAGAACAAGTGTAAGAACACCATTGTTTTTGCGGATGTTCTGATGACAGGCGTTAATTGAGGCAAATGAATAGAGCCGTTCTAGTTACCACAGACTGCCAACAGAATAATGGAATGTAGCCTAAGAGAAACTTCGATACATACAAGAACATCCTTTGGTTTGGTTTGTCTTCCTGAGTATGGTTAAATCCCAAATTTGTTCACACTTAAAAGTACACAGAGTACGGCCCTCTGTAACTGAGGCGTTTCAGTTTTTGTTTGCTGACAAAATATACAACGAACAAACCAAAACGCTTCCAGTGTCTATTGCTGCTAAACGAGCGACAGGTATCTGCAAAAGAACCTAGAAAACCGACAGCGAACAAAAAAGGTTTTACCTGTCTTCAGCCGCTCACGTTCAATTCGTTATTTCAGCGTTCTTATACAATATAACAAGATCTCGACTGATTTTAACCACCCAATGAATTTGCTCCTTTCACGGTAAATCAGGCGAGGTTACGTATGATGTTGATGAGATTATCTCTGACTGTTTCCCACTTTGATCTATGCTTTGCTTTATACCTGTGCCTAAGCGATCCTATAGAATTCATCTGGTTTCCAAGGCTCAAATGCTTTGCTGAAGTAGCACGTCTTCTGCCGGTCGAAGAATATCCACCTCGATGATTTAGTGAAACGAAAGATGAGTTATCGGGAATACATCAGAACCCAGTTTGAATATGTACCCCAGGAATATCGGATCCAGGGTGGCCAACAATTAGTTTCAATCAATCAATCAGTCAGTCAGTCAATTAGTGAATCGATCAATCAATAAGTCAGTTAGTCAATCAAGCAACCAATCAAATTAAGGGACGGAGTTTATATATTCGAACACCATAACTGAACGTTAATGAGTAAATAACTGAGGACTTTTTTGAATATGGTTTTGAATTTTGATCGTCCTGCAAACGACCTTCTGCCAGATAACAGCCTTTCCTGTTTTAAGGAAAATTGATACGAGAAACAGAGTTGCGAAAAATGGAATGTTGGAATTGAGTTCCTTAGCGATCATGCAACACCCATGTCATGATCAGGGGGGTTGGTAAGTGTGACTAGTTCGCGTTTCACTGATTAATCAGAACTAAAGAGGCGAAATCTGAAGATTTTGGAGTAGATAAATAAGTTGAAGCCGAGACCTTTTTGAGGATTGGGGATACAAATCGTTTCTAGTAAAAAAAGTGGGAATGATGTCAAAAAACATTTTAAAGAACCCAACGTTTTCTGAAGCACCATATCCCTTTGAGTAACTTCAGCATGACCTCGGTGTAGTACATTAAGTTTCTCTAGGTCAGTCCTAGCCAACCATACACAGGTGCAATCAAGGAACCCTATTTGGTCATGTATAGCATTTATTACGGCTATGAGGCATATTTCTATGCGCATATCATTCAGAAGCTGATGCCAGAAACACCAGGCAACGGAACGCTCAAATTAAGTTAAAATCCGTGATTCGATGTCTTTCTGGCTGGAACATTCGGTAAAAATATGACATCACCTCGCCTCAGCAGACAACTCACCCTTTGACCATCAAAAGAGAGGCATTCCACTTAAAATGAAAATAATCGCCAACTCATTGATTTCCACACATGTGCCAGTCACTCAACGTAGGGGCTAGTTTTCAAATTGACCGGCATTACGAATTTACTCCAAAACTGCGAATACCCTAATTAAAATGCTTCAGAAAAGGTGGAATTTGACATCGTCATTTATTTCAGAGAATTCGAGATATTGCTGTTTGATTATTCGTCAAATTTAAAATGTCCTTATTAGCACGTGGTTAGCAGGTAATTTCGTGGCTTTTATGAGGGTTTCGAATGCGGGTGGTCGAAATGTTAGTCCACTGTGGAAATGATGGAAGCTTACGCTGATAGCGAGCCTAGGTTAGCTATGCTTGCACGCAACGAATGTGGCTGTTGGTCTAATCAGTAGAAGACGAATCAATCATGAAGATGTGTACTCCTTATTGTCCTTGATTGTTCCACTTTGTAGGGACATGCATTTTTCGACCTCAAAACCACTTACTCCTCGCAAATTCATGCATGGAGAGTCATGTGGACATGATGTGTCAGCTACAAGCTCTTCGTAAGCAAGTGTGGCTTCTGTGACTCAATAATTTTTATTTTTGCGTCAACAAAACGAGCGAACATATTTGATACTTTACGACCAAAATAAACCTGGCAAGTGATCCTTCTTAAATTTATATTCAAAATTACTACTGTGAAAATCTTCACATATGATTTGTTATAAGGTAAATCCGTGGCAGAAATGATGTCGAAGAAAGGAATCAAAGTAGATGACTTAACGACTTACTATAGTCATAAAATTTGGAACTGGTCCAACGAAGAACAACAATAAAGGTCCGAACGAGCATAGTGGCTTGCAAGCAGTAACGACACACGCGGATTTTATGCGAAATTCCAATGCGGTGATGTGCTTTGTTAAGCCAAATATTTGGGAAACTGTTCCGTTCACTCGTGATTGGATGTTGCGGAGCAACTCGATCTGAGATTCTATTGGTCATTCACTTCTCGACCTTGATTTGATTATAACCAATAACGGTGAGACTACAAATAGTTTTACTGAATTTCCCACGACTCATGCGAAGCCATTGATACAAGCGCATATAAAAATATCTAACGGGATATCTATGACTAAATAAGTGGAAGGTCAGCCATACCGTTGGAAACGTGGGAAACAGCTGGCACGCTTAAACTGTTGTCTGCAACTACGTTGCTTGGTTAGAACAGATACGCTTGGCAAGTTAGTATGCTTGTTACACTCCGAGAGAAAATTCAGGTCGTTGACTCCAAAGGAAACAACTTAGAGTCCTACTTGTATGTTGCGAGCGAACTGATGATGACAGAAAACTATCGGAATTTCGAATGATATTTTAACTTTAAAAATTGTCGTTGACATTAATAAGTTCTTGGCACAACAATTAGAAATTAGCTCTTCAAATGCGTGCTGTGTAGCTTGAAAAAAAGTATGGTGTGCGCCATTGACTTGCTGACCAGACAACGGCTCAGAAATTGTGATAGAATAGCTTCTAATGGCGTGCCCATAGTGGAAACGTGACTAATCAACAGAGCCTTTGACCTGCATTAATTGAGCAACCACAAACACAACCGAAGAGAAATATCGATGGAATGGCGGTAGGTCGCCACAATTCCACTAGTGGGTGTATGGAAGGGTACTTCAGACAGGATGTTCAGGTCATTCCACTAGAAACGAGTGCTACACGTCAGCGGGTACCATAAAAATGTTTCCTTGAGAAGGCGCACTGATCGATAACAATAATCACTCACACATGCTCGCTAATACTCACTGAACATTAGCTCACTGTGACTGCAGAGATCTGATAGGTATGGAAGATACCGGTGACGGTCGTTGCTCCCGTATTACTTAAGTTGTACGCTAATAGATGTTCTAACAGTCATTCTCACTTCTCTGATCACACCTCCCACTGCCATTTATTACACAAACCCTTTAAAGCCTCGATTCCAGATGTTTAATTTTTTCATATGTTGGACAGAAGAAGACGGGCTGTACGCCGTATCCGATGACTCGCTGTGTTGAATTCAATGGAAGTGTTACGGTACATTGAGATAGAAACGTTTTGTACATTTTACAGCAAGCACATGAAAGTAGCCTTGTTTCAGTGGTGACACGGAACTCTGAAATTAATGTTTTTATCTTTGCTATAAAAATGCGTGTACACCAGCCCATTCAGGATGTACAAGCGTGCATTATTCACGTGATCTGCTTACAGTAACACAAATTATCCTGTTATCAAGCAATTGTGAAAGCCAGTGGTATGGAAAAACTAGTCCTCCCGTTTCGGCAACTATCTTCGTACAGTGGGGGTTTATGTATACATAACGGCTCAGAAAAGCCAACCAAACGCAGATGAGATGAAATCCCACCGAGTGACCTGGAACACAGGATGGGTAATGTTCAGAGTTAGGATACCGATTATTAAGGAGAATTACTAATTATCTGGATTTTTTCGCGCATTTGAACAGTGAGATAAGGCTATACTTTAATTTCCGCTGTATCTTAGCAATTCCTCAATATCTGGTACCCGTACGTTTAATTTTGAACGCAACTAAGCAGGAACATTTGGTGAACCAAAAATTGAGAATCCCAAATTCACATGTTATGATGTTTGGGATTACGTATATAGTTCCTCTAAAACACAATATCTAGAATCTCAAGGAGCTAACCAACTACTTCGGTAGTTACACAATGGATATTGACAGATGAACATAAGTAGACCTCCTGTTTGCTTGCGTCCAACTAGAAGGAATTTTTTCTACACACATTTCAAACAGCTCCTCTACTATAAAGCGACTACTGATCTATTTAGAAATTTAGCTGCCGAAATGGCTTCTTAGAGCAAAAACAAAACAAAGTTGCTTGACGGCAACTCTTGTTTGATGCATGGTTGCAAATTCATTACAGATCGGCCACTCAAAAAGTTCATCAGCGGGGGAGAATTTTCATATTTTTACGATTTCAATGAGAAAATCAACTTGGAATAGCTTACTGGATGATGCACAAACTTGCTGTTCTGTGGTCTGAACCTATCCTTGGCATCACAACGCTTCCTATCTTGGCTTGGATAAACTGAATCTCAGCCCTTATGCACGTGGCATGGTAGACAGGCACTGAAAGGGTTGTATGAGTTGAATTACACAGATAATTATATGAAAATCCTCACCAGTTGGTGACTAGCTCAGACATACAATAATTATACGAGATAAGCGAGGCTCCCATATGAAAAATCGTCACTCAATGAGCCAGCCAATACTTGACAACGTGAATGCGGTCTTTGTGACTGAAGGATGAGTGGGACTGGTTCTTACCTAACTGAGAGATAACCACACTACTGATCATTTAGCCATTGCGTGTTTAGCCGGTAGCCGGATGTCCGCGGGCTCAAAGCTCTCTTGATTTCATGAGATGAGCACTACCTATCACTATCAAAATGGACGAATCAGCTGTATAGTTTCTCGCAGCTTCTTAACAAAGACTGGCTTCAGTGGCTGGAAGAAGCTTCTGTGGAGAGTTACCTATTTTTCTCCTGTCACCATATATTGAGTAACGTGACAATATTGTGCTGTAGGGTTTTTAAGCAACAGTTGAAATTCCGAATCCAGAGGCCTCGCTTTCTATTTGGACCAACGGAATAACGCTTGACGTGAGCAGCAGACACTGGTCATCACGCCGGCGAAGCAACAATATTTTAAGTCCGGATTTAATTTTATTTTAGTTGCCTGAGTGCTCAAAGAAACTGTGGTAATTTGTGTCAAATAAAAACTTATTGAGCGAGTATGAGAAGGAATCAGAGGAAGCTGTATTTGACGTAAGCACTTCGGTCGTCCCAAGCTGCATCCTGCTTAAAAAACGCGTCGTTCGCTGGCGCACCTGAGAATTTAGCGTGTTGGTTGTGCACGGATTCATACATGCACCTTTGTTCTGCGTTTTAATGATTGTGGCGTAAGCAGAAACTCGATCTTCTTTAAGTTAACAAGTGGGAGTTGTGAAAGACAAGTTGTAATTTGACCGATCACGCCAATGTGCCAAAACCTTTGAGGCTAGCATATCGTGCGACCTTGAAAGCGAAGTTTACTCTGGCTCAAACGGGAATTCAAAAGGCCGTTAGGACCATGTGGTTTATCTTCAAAACGATGTTGCACCTCAAGGAACAAGCGAAATTCAACTAGGGATGAAAATGTCGAAAATGAAGCAGGCGTGATAAATCTTGATCGTAGACATACATTTTTTCCCAGAAGGCAAGTAATCCGAAGCATGGATACAATCATGAATGCAAAATAATCGTCTGTCCTCCTTGTGTTTCATACGTCTACCAAAACTACACTCCAGAATTTGCTATCAATGTAACTCGATCTTTTATGTGTCCGAGAACATATAAAGTCTGATAAGGTGGGTTTTCTTTGGTAGTTTTTTACGTGGGAAAATAATCCGAGACGGGAAATTTCGAGCGTTTTGTGTTACCTGGTATATCAGGGGAAATTTCCTGAGGTGCTTTGTGTCAAGAACTTACCCACAGTCTATTCGGTCCTCAAGAAAATGATTGCACTGACAAGTTTGATTACGCGTTCGATGACAGTCTTCTTTTGCGCAAAATTTCTTTCCATGAAGTATGGAGGGAAACTTGCTACTTATGGAACTCAAAGATATCAACACCCCCAATCTATGACCGCTGGTATTTTGGTAATTACTGTGGCTAAGCTGACGGGAACGCTCATCAGACTTATCTGGTTTAATTGTGAAATAGTCCTCTAAGTAGTGAGATTCTAGTCATGCCTAAACGCCTTACTTGTTGTCTAAACTTCGATTCATCTACCAATAATAAGTATGCAATTCCGTACGTACAATTTTGGCTTGTAACGGATGTCGTCAAGTATGCGAAAAATATCGATTAACAGTATTCAGACCGGTTTGCCATTTACCACTGCATTGCTGGTAGGTCCTTGTCAGACATAATTCGTTTTCTTCAAGTGAATTTTTTCGTGGCTTGGGCGCTTACTCAGCACTGGAGGAAACAAAACATTTTTCCAAAAGTTACTAGCTCAACTCAATAAATGTCGTGCACATTGCGAGCACGTAATTAAGTCAGCTATAGTTCATGTAACTCTGAGAGTAGGAGCCTTTTACGCAAAGTTTCATAACACTTAGGTGCCCAATCAGCCAATTCTCTTAACAGCATTCTGGTGCAGTCAGCGATGCCTTGATTTCTAATGTTAAGACATTTTTCGGAAAGATTCTGGAAGAGAACTTATTTCTAGATAGGATGACTTTTCCTGGACGATTTGTGGAAAAACTGAAGGAAAATAAACGAGACGATTGATCTCAAACAACCTTTCCTTTTGCTCAATTTCAAAGGTAAATTTGTAGTCGAAATGGCCATCAAAATCCTTTGCATAGCACTCGGTAATTCGCATGTTCAGCGTCATTAAACCTTGATACTTCTTCGCACATTTACTTCTTCCACATTTAGAAGACGAGAGCAAACTGCTAGCACTCGTATCTTCCACAGCTTTCAATGAACCCAGGTACATGTGTAGTTTCATTTATGTTGGTTGTAGACCCAGTACTTATCTAGATGGACTAGAAAACCCTGTCTGAAAAGTGTGGTTCTAGGAGATGGAAACGAAATTCGGGGTTATGTTTTAGCCCACTTAGTCAACGCTAAAGAAGTCGTTGATCTGGAAACGGCATTTTCGTTTGTGTACCAAATAAAAGAGCCGGCCCAATGCTTAAATAACGCGTAATCTGGCGTGTGCATTGGCTATCATTATTCGATTAGTCATATCCCTGCAGCTTAACTGGACCAGTGTTCGACTGTTTTTGCTGGTGATACACATTAGACCCCACAGGCATCT